ACACAGGTGCCAAGGATCCAAGTTACTGATTATGACTAGTAATAATCAGATACATACAGATTAGAGACGTATGTGCCAACATCTCAGTGTTAGTCAAACAATGAGTCTTTCTGCAAGGAACAATATACTCTAAAATGAAATGGAGACCTTTTTGAAAGGTTAAAAACTCATCCAATTTTATGTCTTGTGGGCTTATACTAAGTTCAATATTGTATAACTGTATTAACTCAACTGTGAATCTAGACACTTGCAGCCACTTGTGAAAGAGATGTACTCTTACTCTGGAGTGTGTTACTGAATATGTTAAAGCTGTCGTGAAATGCTCCTTCTAATCATGTAGTTATTAAATATTAAAAAAAGATTAAAAAATAATTCTTCAAAAAAAAAAGAAAAAAGAAGAAAAGAAAAAAAGTCTGTATATGTTCAGTATAGGCACATTGATTTTCAAGGACCTGGCAAGATGGCTCAGGGATTGAGAGTGCACACCGCTTTTCCAGAGGACCCAAGTTTGGTTCCCAGCACCCACCTTGGGTGACTGACAACCACTAGTGACTCCAGCTCAGAGAAATCTGATGCCTCTGGCCTCCATGTGCACCTGCACTCACATGCACATCCCCCCACATAGACACACACATACACATAATTAAAAATAAAATAAGAACATTTTCAGTTCATGACTGGTTGTTTCCATGGATGCAGAATCCATGGATCTGGAGGGATAGTTGCATATGTATATATCTGTATTGAAGTATGTGCACTCACATGTATATATGAAATTATATAATACAAAAGGCTATCCATTGTGCATACCCTCAGGTCATACATACATCCAAGCATCGCCTCGGTTATCTCTGTAAGTAAGCTCAATAAACTCATTGGTTCCCCAGTAAAACTTCAATGAAACCTTGGCTTGACACTAGAACCTCAAAAGGGAATAAGCATTGCTTAGCATCCCCAGGAAAAGAAGTTTCACAACCAATGGAAAATTTATTTGTTAATGCTATTGTATCTTATAATTATTAAAGAGAGAGAGAGAGAGAGAGAAAGAAAGAAAGAAAGAAAGAAAGAAAGAAAGAAAGAAAGAAAAAAGGAGAATGCAGAAGATGTTAAAAGGATATTGGAATGGAGATATTTTCCAAAATAGACAGAAAAAATGAGAAAGCCTAAGCAAGTGATGAAAGTCATTTAGGTTTGTTATGATATATAAAGGATGAGTCAAAAAATAATATACACATAATCTTAAATTTTCTATGGTCATAGTTTAGTCAACTAGTTTAAGGAACAAAATATATAACATTTGGTTTTTTTATCAAAGCCTTATCTACATGGCACATGATAATTAAAAATACCAGATTGGAGGAACTAACCTTCTTGGATGTTTAACAGCCATAGTTTGAGGCCTATACTAATGTGGTCAGAGGGACTTAAGGGCAGTTTTTGCTCCTTGCCCTCCAAGGTCGACCAAGTTCCAAGGAACTATGGACCATCTCTCAAAATGTCCTGTAACTGTGGTGAGTCACCTTGTTCAGGGAGGACATGGAGACCCCACAAGATGGACTTGAACCAGTGTCAGGTCTACAAAGAAGAGGGTCAACTCAGAGGAAACATCTCATTCATGCTTCCAGGTGAAGCCAGACATGGTTGAGCAGGACCTTTGACCCCAAGCCCATGTGACCTCTGAGGAACAGATCCTCAAATGACCTTAAGTGTAAAAATAAATTGATTTACTTGGGCCAACTGTATGGTCTTAAACACCCAAAAGGAAAGTATAACCAAAGAGTAAAGTCACCAGTATATTTCTTTAAGAGTTCAAGGGATTAAACTTTCTAGGCTTAAGTCTATATAAAAAGTTATTTAGACATTTATATCTCACTGATGATTTTGTTCCTAACCAGAAAGTGCTGCTCAGATGTAAGACTTCAAATCTTGGTCTCCAGTACTGTAGTGCCCACCTGTAGTTAATGGAGACAACCAGCTATTGTTCTAAAATGATGGATAAATTTGTTTTCTCCCCCTATCTAGAAGCCTTTGAGAGGGAACTGACACTGATTCTAACCACTCCAACAGCTATCAAAATACCTGAATGCAAATCCTGAATCTGTCACTCTCAAGTCCAGCCTTGGAAGACAAAGAAAAATGAGGAGGAACCCGACAGAGGGATGATTTTGGAGGCATTCCTTGTCAAGAAATTCCAATGGACACTCAAAACATTTGAAAATTGCCCTGTTCTGACTTTTTTCTAGCTCCCTGTCTAGAACTTGTAATGCTAATTACTCTTGCCTTTACTTCTCCTTCACATCTCCCATTCATGATTCAATGACTTTCTTTTCCCCTTAGAGACAAGAGTTATGGAATTTGGGAGTCTTTTAGATAGACCCACTGAAGGAGTACTCCAATTGCCTCACCCTGAGTCCCTGTCAAATCCTTATCCAATATCATGCATGAAAATCTACTGAAATAAATTAAATACTTAAAATTAAAAAAATATATATTTATTATTTTTATGTGTATGTATGTATTGCCTGCATATAGGTAAATTCACCCATGTCGTGCAAAGCCCACAGAGGACAGAAGAGGCTGTTGGATCCCCTGGAACTGGAGTTAAGGACAGTTGTTAGCTGCCGTGTGGGTGCTGGGATTTGAACCTGGGTCTTCTGCAAGAACGGCCAGTGTTCTTAACTGCTGGGCCATCTCTCCAGCCCCAGAATAAGTTAAATACTTAAATTTATCACCTAAAACTTTAAAACTTTTAGAAGAAAACATGAGGGAAAATACTCCTTAGCACTGGCAATCATTTTTAGAATTGATATTATTACAGTTTTGTAGGTAAAGTGCTTCCCACAGGCTCATGTGTTTGAATACTTGGTCCTCAACTGGTGGCTCTGTTTTGGGAGACTGTGGAGCCTTTGGGTGACGGGGGCCTGAATGGAAGAAGTAGGTTTCGGTGGGGGGTAGGGTTTAAGCTTATAGCCAGATGCTCTTTCCTGGTGTGTAGCAAACCACATTGCAAGGTACCCCCACTACACAGCCTCACTCTCCACACTATGCCCACCATGAAACTGAACTAAAAACTTTCTTGCCCTAATTTGCTTCTGTCACATATTTTCTCTCAGCGAGAAAAGAAGCTAATGCAGAAAACTGGTACTGGAGTGTGAAATCATAGTTCTGATAAACATGACCGTATGGTTGGCAGGCCTTTGGAACTGGTTTGTGGGAGGGATATGAAAGAGGTTGGAGCTACAGGACAGAGAATGCTTGTCTATCAGTCAGGGTTTTCTAGAGGAACAGAACCAACAGGATGAATACAGGTATATCAATGACTTTATTAAATCAGCTTACATTGAAACAGTAACAACAGTTGTCTCACACCTGAGAAGCTGAGCGCCCCGTAGTCACTTGGTCCTTGAGGCTGGGTGGGTGCCTCAGCAGTTGGAGTGGTCCCACAGTGGCTGTCTTACACTGGAAAGGCCAACAACTTGCTAGTTGTTCAGTCCACAAGGCTGAGAGCTCAGTAGTCCCAAACTGAAGCCCCAAACCTGGAGTGACCCTGGAAGTTACTGGTCCTTAAAGCAGTGATGGGAGCCTGGAGACACTGGTTCTGACATCAGCGAAGAAATCAGCAGCTGCATCAGAGTAAAGAGAGAAAGCCAAAGAGCAGACTAATGAGGGAAATGCGATCAAAACTACAGTAAGACACCCCTTTACACCTGTGATGGCTACGACCAGAAAGCAAGGATCACAAGTATTTGACAGTGTGAAGAGAAGGGAGTGTGCTGTTTTTTTCCGACTTGAAAAATCTGAACATGCCTGGGCAGAAAGAATGTCAACTGAGGAACTGCCTTCATCAGTCTGGCCTGTGGTCATGTCTGTGACACGTCTTCCTAATTCCTAACTGATGTAGAAAGGCCCAGCCTGTTGTTGGCAATGCCATCCCTAGGCAGGTGGGCCTGGGCTATATAAGAAAGGCGACTGAGCAAGCCAGAGGAAGCAAGGCAGTAAATAGTCCTGAGTGGTTTCTGCTTCAAGCTCCCGCCATAAGTTTCTACCTTAGCTTCTCTCAAGGATGGACTGTACCGCGTAAGCCAAATAAACCATTTCCTCCCCCAAGTTGCTTTTAGTCAGTGTTTTATCACAGCAACAGAATGTCAGCTAGGATAAGGGAGCCCTTATACATTGTTGATAGAGATGCAGATTGGTATAGCCATTAGGGAAAAGAGTGTGGTGATTTCAACAGAACTACCATGTGAGCCACACAATGCAACTTCTTAGGAAAACTGAAGTGAAAATGAGTATCAAAGGGGCATCCACGCCCCATGTTCGCTGCAGAATCATTTTAAATAGCCAAGATACGCAAACAACCTGAGTGTCCAGACGACTGGCGAGAGTGCGCTGTGTGTCTACGTTTATCGTTATCATCTTTGAAAAAGGAAATCCTGTCAGTTGTGAAAATATAGATGAACTTCGATGGCACTGTAAGTGAAACAGGCCAGGGACAGAAAGATAAATCTGTGGGTCCCACTTGTGACTGGATTCTAAAAATGCTGAACTCACTGAGATAGAGTGGATGGCTGTTACTAAGGGCTAAGGAACAGGGCGGGTGGGGAGATGATATTCAAAGAGCATGAAATTTTAATTAGGAGGAGTAAGTTCAAGACCTATTATATAAGTTGGTGACTATAGTTACTAACAATATATTCTTGAAATCACTGAAAGAGTAGATTTTAAATATTCTTAACATTAGAAAAGTATGTGAGGTAATACATATGTTAATTCGCTCAATTTATACATTCCACAACATACATATATTTCAAGTTATATTTTATAGCATAAATATATACAATCTCATCAATTAAAATTAATTTAGTAAAAATAATATAAAATGTTTAAACATGAAAAAAACTGCCTAAGAAACAGCCAGCTTTTCTTAGATGCTTCTCTTATAAAGAAATATTTTTTATTTTTGAAATCCTGCTTTAAAAAAGGTAATTGTCATTCAGATTTGCTGTGTTCTGAAAACTGAAACTGTTCAAATTTGCCCTGTGCTTTGGCCAGAAAATCCCGATGGTTCCCATGCTCACGTGTGCCACGTGCCTCTGGCCCTTGGCCATCTCTGCTCTTGCTGATGCACCCCAGAGGCCCTTCTAACCCTTTTCCAAATGGCTTTAGTTTCATGATGCTTTTCTGAGCCTGGGAACAGCATGAGGCCTGGGCACAGGAAATATTGCCAGCTACTAGTAAATCAATTACTCTGGCGTCCCATGGGCTCTTTTCCATACCCCATTTTGGTATAATAAATTAAAAAACAAAACAAAAAACTACCTATCCATGTCATTATTTGTTGTTTTGTTTTATTATTTATTTTTTTGGTGTGTTTATGTGTGTGTGTGTGTGTGTGTGTGTGTGTGTGTGCGGTGAAGGTTGCACTGAGGGCCTCGTGCATTCTAGGAAAGTCATCTACCACTGAGCTATATCTCCAAATGCAGACACTTTTCTAAATCTTCTTTCTCTCTAACTCTTGCTATATGGCTCACCCACTTCGTCCCCTGAGAATTCAGTGGTCATCAGATCCAGCCCACTTTCAAGATTCTGAATGAATTCACATAGAGTTTGTGTCAGAATTTTGCATTTTCAAAGTTCTCCCAGATGGCTCTGATGGTCGGCCCAATTTTGGAATCACTGGCCCATGTGGTCAGTTTCCAACTGCAGCTCCATGGCACACCAGGCACTCTTCCATTGCCTCCCGCCTCCCTCACCATCACAACCACCTGGACGAACGCCATCGCTAGTCAGAACTCTGGAACCACCTTTGCTTTCTCCCTCCTCACTTTGCACGGTTCTCAACCAGTCCCAGGCTTTTCTTCTTATAAAACACGCTTTACCTTTGGTCTTGCCCACTTGTTCCACATCTGCTGTCCCTGCTCTGATACATCTGAACATTCTCTCTCCCACCCTCAGCTGCTCTATAACATCCACGTCACACTCCCTCTGTCTCTGTCTCTCTCTGTCTCTCTGTCTCTTTCTCTCTATCTCAGAATTGTTCTCAAGAGAAACACATTTATTTTACTAGTACCTCCAGGTCACCCTTCAAGTAGCTATACCACTTTATAGTCCCTTAGGTATTGTAAGAATGTAACCGTTTCTCCACAATATTACCAGCATGCCGTCTCTAACAGTTTTTCTCCCTTTGATGAACATCTTCCAGTAATTCTTCCTGAAAAGGCCTGCAAATGTGAACTTTTAAGAGTCTGAATACAGAGCTGGAGAAACGACTCAGTGGTTCGGAGTACCTGTATCAGGCAGTTCACAACCACCTGTAAGTCCAGGTTCCAGGAGATCCAACGTCCTCTGGCCTCCATGGGTACCCATGCATATGTGGCATACACGCAGATACACAAACAGGTAAATAAATTGTAAAATAAATATTTTTCTAAAAATATGGATACATCCTTATTCCAGTTTCACTTGTGCATCAGCCACTGGTGTGCAGAACTGTAAGTTTAAGGGCTTTCCTGTCATTTTGCACATGAAATTCCTCCCTGCTTCCCTCTTACTTCAAGTGCTCAATAAGAGACCTGCTTAGGCTCATTTTCATTCTTTTATAAATAATTTATTTTTTGCCTCAGGTATTTAAAAAAAATTGACTTTTCTATGTGTGTATTTTACCTGTATGTATGTCGGTGTACCCATGACACCCACAGAGGCCAGAAGAGGGCATCAGGTCTCCTGGAACTGGAGTTATGGGTTGTTGTTAGCTACCATGTAGGTGCTGGGAGCTGAACCTGGGTCTCACCTCTGAGTCATCTCTCCAGCCCAGCCTCATGTAATTTTTAAGATTTTTTTTTTGCTTGTGGTGCTGCAATTTCAGTACAAGAAGTCTTGGTATATAACATTTATAACTATTTGCCTCACTTTGGGCTTGATGGATTCTTTTTGTCTGAGAATTCATGCCTTTTTTTTTTCCCAAATCTTAGAAAGTTGAAAATATTTCCTCTGAGATGAAGATAAAAATGGTGAGAGACTGAGATCCTGTGTTGACCAGACCATCAGGCAGAACTGGGAAGGAGAGAATCTCAGCAGTGCTGCGTGCCTGAGTTCTTAGGATGGGGATGAAGGAGGTGACAGAGCAGGGTACCCAGTGGCCAGAATGCGAAGGGGCAGGAGGGCAGAGAAGTGGTTAAGAAGCAACAGAGACTTAGGGAGATGAAGAGCCTGGCTTGACCCTGGTCAGAGCCCCGCTTCTGCTGGGGTGGGACCCGTGCTTGATGCACACAGAGGAGCCCCTGGTGATGACTTGTTTTCCATGGTCTCCTTTCTCCTGACCTGCACTTGGGTGTGATCGACTCATGTGGCTTAGTATCTGGGAACCTCTGGGAGACAGGAGACACTGTGAGTAGACAGAACTCTAGTTGACATAATGATGACAGGAACAGACTTAAGTGAGTCGATATAAGGGAGAAGTGGATGGTATGTTAATTTGTTCAGGTTGCCTTAACAAAATATCACAGATTGGGGAACTTAAACAACAGAAATTTTCTTTTTACACAATTCTGGTGCCTAGAGTCTAAGATCAAGGTGAGGTCTTTCTTTTGGATCTGAAATACCCACTTTCTTCCTGGTTCTTCCTGTGGTCTTCCCTCTATGTGTCTGTGTCTTGATCACCTCTTATGAAGATGATAATCATATTGAATGGAATACATTCAAAACGCCCTATTTTGCCTTAGTTACTTCTTTAAAAGCCAAACAGCCATAGTGAGTATTGTAGTTTGTTTTTCCATTGCTGTGACAAAACACTCTGACCAATAACAACTTGGGGAGGAAAGGGTTTAGTTAGCTTATACTCCCGGTTCACAGTTAGTTCATCAGGGAGTCCAAGGTAGGAACTCAGGGCGGGAACCTGGAGGTAGGAGATGAAGCACAGGCCATGGAGTTACTGGCTTGCTCCCCAGGCCCCTGTTCAACCTGCTTTCTTAAACAAAACAGGCCCACCTGCCCAGGGGTGGCACCACCCACAGTGGGCTGGGCCCTCCCACATCACTCATCAAGAAGATGCCCCACAGACACGGCCACAGGCTAGTCCAATGTAGGCAATTCCCCAACCGAGGCTCCCTCTACCCAGGTGTGTCAAGTTGACACTAAAGCTATCCAGCACAGTGCTGGATACTGAGAACTGGAATTTTAATATGTGATGTGGAGGCGCTGATTCAGCCAACAAGAGAGGCTACTCGTTTATTTTTAATATTTATTGGCATATGTTCATTGTACACAGTAATATGTCTCATAGACATCTTCACCCAAGTGAATCATGTACTGTAACACAGTCATCCTCCTAGACTCTCTCCTTCCTCCTTCCTCTCTCCTGCTATGCCCCTTCCTCTGCCAGTTTCACTTCTGTGGAAATGATTTTATGTATCTATAAAAAATTTCTCACAGATGAGAGAAAATATGATACTTACTTTTCTGAGTTTGGCTTGTTTCATTTAATATGATGGCTTGCATTTGGCATCCATGACTTTATCCTGCTGTGCGGCTTCTTTATCCGTTCACCTGCTGTCAGACACCTAAGCTGATATATCACTTGGGTTTGTGAATAATGCTGCAATAAATGGATGTACAACTATCTCCG